ACCTCTTTTAAATCTTCACCATTTTACCCTCATTTTTGGTCAGATTACTTTAACTCTTACCTTACTGTTCTGCAACCATCCCAGGCAAGGCAGGTTCATCGGTGGTTCAGGCAGCTTAAAAGAGAATCATGGAGCCCTTGGCATCATCCCCACAGGTTGGGGGGAACAAGCCAGCAAGGAGACAGCAACTTGGGACCCCCTGCAAATCTCTATATTCTCTTTCCTCTCTCAGTTGCTCTCTACTGCACCGTTCTCGGACAGCCCCACCGTCTTCTGTGACACTGCCCTTATATGCTCAGCCTCTCGGCTCAGGTGTACACACTCATGCATGCCCACACCATATTCCAGGTGTCCAGGTGTCCACCATCAGGCATGTGTGCCCTGAACCCACACTCCCAAGCTCGTCCTGCATTAGTACAATCACAGCTGCAGGTGATAGCCACAGAGGCCAATGGCACAAAAGCCTGAGCACTCTTCATTTACCCTGCATGCGCACTGTAGATCCTAGCATGCTCTTAATTCTTTTTAATTTTCTCGCTCAATTTTCTCCCTCAATTTTCTCTCTTTCCTCTAGCCATGTATGCTCAAGTAAGTTTCAAAAATGAAACAGGAAAACCTTTATCTAGTCACTCTTTGGCCCTTTTGCTGTCAGATCGTGGGAGAAACTAGTGTGTATTCACTGTTGTAACATTCCTTTACTTCCTAACCTCTTTTTATCTGTCTACCCCTTTGGTGCTCGGAGGTCCTAGGTACACATTCTCATGGCCATTTCAGTTGTTTTGCCCTCTCAGCAGCATTTCATGCTGTTCTTCCTTGAACCTTTCAAAGGGGAAACAGCCTTGCCCAAGAAATTCTTCTGTGACTTTATTTTCTGCCTGGCTGTCTTTCGGCTTCACAGGTCACGTGTTGCTGGTTCTGTAATGTTACTTGTATTCATTCAGGCCACCTGCTAAAGGCATGTTTTTTATCTGGGAGAGTTTTTAATGTGTTTCCCAAACTCTAGATGACACCTATATTTTTATCTCTAGCTCAGCCTTATCTTCTGAACTCTCTTTATCTTTTGTATTTGCTCTTCATTTACTTAATGCTTTTTTTTTTTTAAATTGAGAGCGTTCTTTAATTATTGTTTTGCTGGACCCTGCAGGTGGGGCAGTTGGAGGATGAACCTTATTTGTTTTCCACATCTCGGGACACTGCCTTTACTTGATCCCAATATCTTAAAAAGATTTTATTTCCTGTATTTTATTTGATTTTTTTAAATTGCCTGATGGAAGAGTAGATATAATCACTCTTTCTTCACCTTGTCCAAAAGTTGAAATCTAAGGAGGCTGGAAAGGAGATGCCAGGGTTTTTGATAACATATGTAAGGACAGAGACAATGCTGCTGACTATTGTAATAGTGCAAACTGGAAACAACCCAAATATCCATCAACTGAAAGCAAACAAATAAAATGTGGTATAGTAATACAAGGAATACTATGCTGTAATGAGAATCAATGAACTGTAATTTAATGTAATAGCAAGGATGAATTTTATAACCATGTGAAGTAAAAGAGGCCAAAAAGTCTATCCTGTGGGATTCCATTTAGATGATAGTTTTTAATTGGCAAGATTAGTCTGCGATATTAGAAGGCAGGACAGTGGTTACCTTGGACAGGAGAACAGTAAATAGAGGGGACAGGCAAGGACTTCATGGTTTCTGATCAAAATACTCTGTTTCTTGCTTTGGGTACTGTTCCATGAGTGTTTTTACTTTGAGAAATACACTGAGCTGTACACTTCTATGTGACTCTATAGTGTGCTTATTATTAAGAAGTATCTCACCCCCCCCGCCCTCCCCCACACACACACACAAAGGTCAAGGCTGCAGGCCAGATGTATGTACAAACTAAGCTGGATTTCCAGTATAGAACCTGAAACTGGGAAAGTGTGGTACTGGGGCTCCTGGAAGAAAGTAAGTCACCTGCTCCAGGCTAGGGTGGATGTGAGCACCTTTCAGAAATCCTGTGCCTAGTGTGGCGTAGCAGGCTTGCCTTTGTTCTGTCTGGGTAATGAAGAAACCCAGAGGCAGTGTGTTAGTGGGTTTCTCTATAATTGGCTGTCACCTCACACTCTTGTTTTGTTACAATTTAATAATGCTTAATGACCATACTGATAACTCTGGATTTTAGCCCTTCTTATTCTGTCCTCTGAGTCTTAAACTCATAATTTCAGTGTCTGCCTCTTATTCTTTCTCTCTGCTGCCTTCTGGGTAATTTCTTCTAGAAGAATCTAGATTCCAGTTCCACTATTTGGTTTTAAACTGTGTGCATAATCTTTTCTGTCAACTGCCTAATGAGCTTCTAAATCATTGATCAAAATTTTCATTTCTAGTCATAGTATGGTTCTTTGCACATAGTCCTGGTCACATGTGATGCTCTCTCATTCTGTCTCTTGGGCTTAATTCAAGCAGCACAGGTAGTTTGTGGTTAGGTTTTCCCATGGACACAACTTCATTTTATTTCATTTCACTCAGGACTGAATTCAAGATAGATAGCGTTCCAATTTTCCCTCTTTTTTGGCCCAGATTTTTTGACTTTGCCTTCAGGGAGTCCAGATGTTCCATGATTCTTGTCTTGGACTTGTCACCATCTTTAGGTCACCAGTAACCAACAGATGGCCCCAGGGTGACGTGAGCTCACCCCTCAGATTTCTCATTTCTGACCTAGGAGACCTTCGTTTATTTTCCTAATAGCTCAGTTATATATTTAAAACCATGCTTTTAGTACACCTGTACTAAAAGGGAGGAGAGGAAATGATAGATGTAATGTAAGAATTTATATTGCTATATATGTATATATGTCGTAAATTTTAGCTTGTAAAAGAGTTTAAAAATCCATTGAGGGATAAGCAAGAAACTAATAATTCTTGGGGAGTGGTGATAGGAACAAGGCAGATGGCACGCAGGAGTGACAGGGAGACTGTGTGAACCTCTTACTGTTTTTAGAGAGTTAAACTTTGTAGCTATATTACTAGTTCAATCAACTAAATATAACAATATCCACCACTCCCCAGCAGTTTAGATATTCTGTACTGGGTGGGTCTTAACTGTGGCAAAGGATCAGTTCTTTAAAGCCTCCCCCTGTGTCATGGACTGATAGTTTGGTAAACTACCGTAAAAATAAATTACTGATCACATGCTTGGATAGCACAGCAATGTCAGATTACTATACAAATTTCTAAATGCTTTCTCTCAACTTCTGTTAATCACAGACAAGTGAAAAGAAAGCAAACTCGTGGACAAGACCATACTGAGCTGCACTGCTTCTAGATGCTGCATCATTCCTGGCATTTGATGCTATGGAGCAAAAATTGATACCTACTCTGTTCTTTAAATTTCTTGTTAGTTTACAGTTTTTCCCATTGTCTATAACCTGTTTCTTTCTCTGAAGCTGCTCACACAATCTTATCCTGTTAACATTAGATGTTTCCTGCAGCACACCCCTGCTCAGTTAGGGGAGTGCACCTTCTGCTACCTGCTGTGATGGTGGCATTGGTGTGCTTCTAGAAGTCATTCGTTGATTAATAGTGTATTTTATCAAACCTAAGATGCATTGATGCTTGTGTCTTCTGATCTTCCAGAGGGTCTTACTGGCTAGTCTTCATGCTACTAGGTTAGGCTGGCTGGCCGGCCATCAGGCTGCCAGCAATTATAAAATGCCATTGATTTCAGAGATCTTAAAGTGTCCCAACAGATCTTGCAGGTGGCCCCCCTGATTGACTAGCCTCTAATTCCTGTTGAGTGCTTAGAGATTTTCTTAAGAGGAGAGAGGAGGCCTTTGATGGCTTCCTTTTGAAACTTCACCACTCTGCTGAATGGCATCTCTTTTCTTGGCCCAGCGGGGCACCCACAGGGGCACATTCTCTCTCCTCTAATTGGCATGACTTCCCTCACAAGAGCCCTGAGCTGCAGCACTGTGGGAATGGTCAGTACTGAGAACCTTGGCCAGCTTACCCTATGGGTTGGTGGCCCTGGGCTGTCTTTTTCATTAACACTTTTCTTGTCGCTGATTTTCTCTTTTGGTTTCTTTTTTACTCTCGACTTCCTTCCGTTCCATCTCTGCACATGTGAGTATTGGGAGTTCTGGTGGTTACTGTTCTACTTTATTTTCCTCATGAGGGCAGCTTACTCTTCTTTCGATCATGTGTTACTGGGGCAGTTTGTGACAGAAATTTCTTGTGTTTTTCTGGATACTCTTTTATATTGTTCTGGTACAGATAAGATAGGCTTATTTCCCCCACTTAGTTGTTATAGTTCTTAGGTCATCTTGATGACAGATTGGGAAGAAGCACAATTAATGTGTGGCTACTCTGCTCTTCATTTCTTCACCTTGTATTCATTTGAACATCTGGCAATGTTCCAGGCACTGGGAATAATAAACAGTGGTCTTTAATTCTGGCCTTCACTGGAATGTTCATTAGCTTAGTTCTGGTTTTCCTAAATCAGAGGCTGACCTATTTCTACTTTCCTTCATTTTCACATACCCCTTTGAAAGATGTCAACTTTTTAAAGAATTTACATTAGAATTCAATAATTTACTGGGCCTCCCCTGGTGGCGTAGCGGTTGAGCAGCGGTTGAGCGCTGGGCTGCGAAGCTGCCCGCAGCCTCTGCAGCGCCGGTTCGATCCCTGGCCGCTGGCAAGGGTCCCACATGGTGCGCAGACCTCTCCTGCTGCACCCGCTGCTCCCCTCAGCAGTTTATTTCATTAGTCTGCCTGTTCTGTTCTGCCAGTCTGCCGCTCTGGCTCTGGTGAATTCTTTCACTCTCCTGCGCTTCTGACTGTACCCAGTGCTTGTATAAATAAGTAAATAAATAAATAAATAAATAAATAAATAAATAAATAAATAAATATTTAAAAAAAAAGAATTCAATAATTTACTGATAGCTTGGTAGATACTTTATATAGACCTAGAACTTATATATTCTCCAGAAATAATCTATATTTATTTTGCTTTTTAGCCGATTACACCTCAACAAGAAGGCAACAGACAAACAGCCATATAGCAAGCTCCCGGGGGTGTCTCTTCTAAAACCGCTGAAAGGAGTAGATCCTAACCTAATCAACAACTTGGAAACATTCTTTGAACTGGATTACCCCAAAGTAAGTACAGTGGTTTACTCATTAGAAATGGACTAGATCTGACCCCATCTCTGCCCGCCTCCTTTTTCTTCGTGATAAACACATAGAAATTATGAGACTGTATCAAGTGAAGGCATTGCATGTTGGTGATGATGTCATCCTCATAACATTTGTGCTGTAGTAGTAGTGGTCACAGGCAGAAGTGACCTTGAGGAAGGGGGGAGGGGTTTTCTTTTCTGTATGTCCATTAGGTCAGAAATCCTTGTGTAAACTCCCTGGCATTAGGCATTGATAGGTGCCTGGTAGTTTGAATACAAAAGCCTTGGACCCTGAGAATCCTGTGTGGACAACAGGTAGAGAAGGCAATGCCCAGTGGTCTGAAGTGGCTGCAGGGCAGCTCAGAGACAAGGTGAGTGCCCTGGGGAATCTGACTTTTAAGCCAAATTATGGTTAGTTAGTTCTTTTCAATGAAGAATTTAGAAAGTCCCTTTAAATTTATCATAATGGAATTTGATAGATAATTTATAGAAGTTGCATGTGGTAAGGCTGAGTTTAGAGAGAAAGCTTGCTTTTTCTGTATTAGTCTTACAGTGCTAGGTACCTGGTTAGCATTTAGCTAGCAAGTCTTTAGTGATGAAGGCCATGGAGAGACTTGAGATCCTGGTTAATATCTAGGCTATGTCTATCTGGTAATAGAACTTTGGGCTCTGTCAGTCTCTTCATTATCCCTTCTGCTTGTAAACAGTCCTCTTTTCTGGAGAAGCTGCTCTCAGTTAAAGCATTTGGAATCTGAAGTGTCTTCATCCATTACAGGTCCATTATCCTCTTAACTTTTAAACTTTGTATGTACAACTGCTTGTTTTTCTTAAAGCTTTTTTGATCTATCAATAAATACTAATGAGTGATAATTTTTTTAAAGAGGTTAATTTACCTAAAATGTGTTCTTTGGCTAGTATGAAGTCCTCCTTTGTGTACAAGATCATGATGATCCAGCCATTGATGTATGCAAGAAGCTTCTTGGAAAATATCCAAATGTTGATGCTAGATTATTTATAGGTAAGTAACAAATAAATTCTACAATAATAACCATTTTGCTTGAGAAGTATTAAGAATAAGTAATCTTCTTTGCATTAATCTATAGATTAAGGTATTAGCCACCTGCTGAAGTTACTAGCATGTTTGTTTCATACATATTTATTGGAAAGTTTATATTTTTTAAAGAAATATATGTTATATGAAAACAAAAAGCACCTTTGTTTTTAAAATTTAAATAAACAGTAACAAGAAAAATTACCCCAAATCGTTTTGCTCATTAGACATGAGAGTCTATTATATTTGTTTCTTTAATATTTTTTTGTGTGTGGCCTTTATTTCATCCACTATAATAGGGAGTGAACAATAGAATTCATTTGTTATAAATTTCCAAAGATAAGTGATAGCAGTTGCTTTTTGAAGATGAACAATTTCTTTTAACTATATTATTATAACTAATAAAAAATGTAAAAAGTAATGTTAAAAAATGTTCAATTATTGTAACTATGCAAATACTTTTCTACTATATATCTGTTTAATAGAAAATATTTTCAATATTACATGAATTTTTCATTGCTCTTCCTTTAAATTTTTAGGTGGCAAAAAGGTTGGCATTAATCCTAAAATTAATAATTTAATGCCAGGATATGAAGTTGCAAAGTATGATCTTATATGGATTTGTGATAGTGGAATAAGAGGTGAGGTTTTTCCTTAAATATTTTATGAAACTATTACTTGATGATAAAATGCCCAAAACAATGTGAAAATACAATTATCCTTCCTTTTTGTTGTTCATAAAATAATTAATTTTATCATTTCATGATAATGCCAGGTTATGCTTATTAATATTTTTGGTTTGATTTTTTTGTTAGCCCAGAATGTTACATATATAAAATGTTTTCATTCTGAAGAGAAGATTCCAACTCTTAAAAATAGTCATTATCCATTATACAGTCTCTGAGCTTTATCATACATGTAATTTTTCCCTTGTTGGTATGACACGTGTGCACACATAAGCCGCTACCTCACAGAGGGACAGAAACACATATTTTACTAGACTACATACATTTATTGAAATACATACATTACTTTTAAAGATGATTTTAACAGGAAGCCTTTTATATACTTAAATTATACTTTTCATTTTTAACTGTTTCTGTGTTCTATAATATTCTGTTATATTCAGATTACCTCTGCTTTCTCAACCACACACTTTGACATTTGAGGCTGCATAATTCTTCCTGTGGGGGCTCCGACTAACCAATGGACGCAATTGTGATAATCACAGATGTCTCACACATTGCCAGAGGTCCCCTATGCAGCAGCACTGCGCCAGATATGGATTTTTATGGTCCAAATACACTTTGTTTTAGACAGTAGATTTAGTTCTCAGAGACTTGGAAGAAATAAAGGTGAAGTAGGGCTTCCCTGGTGGCGCAAGGGGTTAAGCACAGCCCTGTGAAGGTCTCCACATTCACTGCAGCAGGAGTTCGAGCCCCGGCCAGGGAGCTACCCACATGGCACAGCACACCTCTCCTGTCTCCCCGCTGTTACCCTCAGCAGTGTATATCAGTCAGTCTGCCTGTTCTGTTTCCCACTCTATCTCTGGTGAATCCTCTCGCCCTCTTGTACCTCTAATCTGTAGCCTAGTTCTTGTATGCATAAATAAATCTTAAAAAAAAAAAAAAAGTAATGTAAAATGATATAAAATGTTTCCTATTTGAAAGTGGAAAATGATTTAAAATTTTAAATTAGTTTTATATTCAAGCTTAATTAATAGAAGTATGGCTCACCTAGTTAATTGGGATCCTTACAGTCTATCACCTGATGATCAAAGATTATCTTCATTCTTACATCGTTTACTGTCCAAATCTCTGTCAGGTGTAATCTCACTTGATTTCCTTTAGCAGTTCTCTTATATAGACTATATCACATCTTCTAAGAAAATAGAGGCTCATTTCCTGTGGCTGGAGAACTGAGAGCCACAATTTTCTGTTCCTGTAAACTTTACCCTTTCTACTAGGACACATTGTCTATTATTCTAGTTTGGAGGTTCTGATATGGGGTAACGTTTTCAAACTATATCCTGCTTCTGGCACATATTAGTTATATAGCAGCCTGAAAATATACAGAGTGCATCAACTTAAGAATTGTGCCTTTTTGCAATTTTGAGATTCATGTTATTAGTTCCAAATGTAAACATTTTTAAAAATACTATTTAAGCAAGAATTTAGTAACAACCCAATATATTTTCTATTAGTGAACATTATACTAAAAATGATGTTTTCTTACTAGCTCTTAACCTATTTTTTTTTCTTTTTTATTACAGTAATTCCAGATACACTCACTGACATGGTTAACCAAATGACAGAGAAAGTAGGCTTAGTTCATGGACTGCCTTATGTAGCAGACAGACAGGGCTTTGCTGCCACGTTAGAACAGGTAAGTCTGGTGATCATAAAAAAATCTTGTTTGCAGAAACCTAACCTCCCAGAAGCTTGAGATTTTTCTAAGCCTAAGGTTTGGGAGGAGCTCTCTGAAATTATGCTTGTCCGTTTTAACCCGCTGGGTTCTGGAATAGTCAAGGTGAGAGTAATTGTTTTCATTTGTGAGGGAATTCTGGGGCCCCTGGAATCACTCCCATCTGTGCTTGCTGCAGTGAGCCACCAGCATGGAAATGGCGTGTGGTCTCATTACCTGCGGAACATACTGTTAGGTTCATTTTTCTGTGGGTCTCACCCTCACTTCTAGAGTTGAGCTTTAAACTGTTGACTTTAGTAAAAGTTCATGTTGTGTAGTGGTTTCAAAAATACAATCTGAAGAGAATTCTTTAAATATCTTAGAGTTTTTCAAATACACAAAAAAGAAAGTCACTATAAAATTCATTTGATTTTCTTGTAATACAGATTTCTAGTAATTATCTCAGAAACTTATTTTACGTATTCCATGTTTTCTCTTCAATTTACTGTGTGTAGAAAATTATAAATGATCAGAAAATATAAGGTGAAAAAAAAAACCCACCCATAATCCCACCAACTCGAAGTTTCTGTTTTTATGTGGAGGTATGAATTGGTACTCTCCAAATTATATAGTTATTTAAACAACTGACAAATAATTTTAAAAAGTTAAGTTTTTTTGTTTTTATTTAGTATTTTTGTACTTTGGATCCTTTTTTTCCCGTATGTACCTTTTAAAAAAGGAAATTGAGATAGTATTCTAAAACAGTGAGAATCTCACTTTGTTTACTTCATAAGCTTTTTCCTCATATCATTAATACATTTTTATAAAAGTAATTTTGAGCAGCTGTAAGACAGTATCAACATGTATGTACTATATACCTAGAAGGAAACGTGTGTTAAAAGCTCTAAGGGAAGGTTGTATGATTTCAGTCCTTAAATACTTTTGCATATCTGCATTTATATTCTCTTGAACTGCAATCTTATGGCTGACACAGTGTCTATTTCACTTATAAGCTGAAGGGTATAAAGGTACATTGTTGGGCCTCTCTGGTGGTGCAAGGGGTTAAGACACAACCTATGAAGTTGTCTGTAGCCACTGCAGCACGAGTTCAATCCCGGGCCAGGGTGATAGCCACACGGCACAGCAGACCTCTCCTGTCTTGCCCACTGCTCCCCTCAGCAGTGTATTTCAGTCATTCTGCCTGTTCCGTTCCCCACTCTGCCTCTGGTGAATCCTCTCACCCCCCACGCCTTTGGCCTGTACCCTAGTTCTTGTATGCATATATCTTTTTGAAAAAAAAGTCCTAGAAATCTAATTTCCCCTTTTTTAAAAAAAAAAAAGTACATTGTTGAAACTTGCATTTATACTTTGGTAGTTTGAACCGGTGAACTCTTTCTTTTTTTTAAAGATTTATTTATCTGTGCATATAAGAACTGGGGTGTAGGTCAGAGGTACAGGGGGTGAGAGGATTCATCAGAGACAGAGTGGGGAGCATATCAGGCAGATTAACTGAAATGCACTGCTGAAGGGAGCAGCAGGCGAGACAGGTGAGGTCTGCTGCGCCATGTGGGTTAGTTCCCTGGCTGGGGACCGTGGCTGGCGATAGCTTGATAATAATGCTGAGACTTAACCCTTTGCACCACCAGGGAGGCCATCATGAACTCTTAATATTGCCCATAAATCTAGTCAACTCAGATACCAGAGCTTTTGCTTAGTGAAAGAAACTCTGGGTATTTGCTTTAAAATAAAATACTTCCTATTCTTACATGCCACATTGTGTTTTTGTCTTAGGGAGATCCAAGTTTGTTTATCAGTCAATGATAAACATCTCCCAGGTGTTGAGGTTTAATGTCCAGAGGTCTCTCTCTGCCATGTATAAGAATAAATGGAAATAGAACACAGCAGTTATTTCAGTCTGCGAAGAAATTCCAGGATCCCTATTTACAGTCTCTAGTCCCACCTAATTCTTAAGGCCTCACTTAATAATTGCATTTGGTATTAGGATGTGTTCTTCTGATCTTAGAAATTTGGTTCAATTGAACCCCACAAACACCATCGCTTCCTTGAAGTTCAGACATAGAGTAGGTAGCACGAATTATATTCTTATTTGTCCCTTGTAAATCTCTTGTTCTACTGTATGTATGTGGTGCCTACCATTGAGGACAATCATTGCTCCCTATTTCAATTGAAAAATGCAGCATCTCTAAGATTTAAATAATATATAGGGTTGTGTCTAGTAAGTTGGGTAATAACCATCTTTTTCTGTCAAAATATGTTAATATTTTACATATCAATGAGTGATATTTTAAACTTATTTACATCCAAATTAAATATTACTTGGATAAATATTTTAATCTTGCAGATTTAGGGTAGATAATATTTATTTGAGAATAGAATATGCTTTTCCCTCCTAGAAGTAAATATTTTTTGTAATGGCGATAATAACGAAAGGAGTCAGTCAGATAAATTACTGACCAGCTACTATATACATCAACACAATTTTGCACCACTTTTTATTCAGGTAGTTAGTGTAAGAACAATAGGCTATTCACTCAATCATACTTAAAGGAAATTCATTAGGAAAAAGAGTTACATTTAGCATAAAATTCTAATTGTACATGTTTTTACTTGGGCAGGTATATTTTGGAACTTCCCATCCAAGATCCTATATCTCTGCCAATGTAACTGGTTTCAAGTGTGTGACGGGAATGTCTTGTTTAATGAGAAAGGATGTGTTAGATCAAGCAGGAGGGCTTATAGCCTTTGCTCAGTATATTGCTGAAGATTATTTTATGGCCAAAGCAATAGCTGACCGGTAAGTAAATGTAATTAGCTTATATTTTTAAGACGTAGTTTCTGTTGGTTTATTCTGTTTAAGTGCATGGGTTAAGGGCTGTTTTGTTTTATCTCTGGCTAAGTAGCACAGAGTAAGTTAACATTTTTAGAAAGATAATTCTTGTTACTCACAGATTTGTACTAATACAGCAAATAAATACCCTGAATACATTATTCACATTAATGTCGTTTGGAGTGATTACAAGGAAACTTCTCTGTGATTGTAAATTTTCATTATTATGAATGTAAATTTCTATGTGTTTCAGAAGAATTAAAAGTGTCAGTGTAGTCATAAGCCAGAAGGTAAAAACCTAAAGAATAAGATTCTAAATTTTGGGATTTGTTAGAAGATTTTTTGGTGCTCATTTGGAAAACCACTCAGTGATTCATATGGTTGATTTAACATCTATACCAAAATGATACCTATTTACTTTTTAAAAGGGAACATTGCCTTGTGTGATAATTTACTAAAGATGTGATTTTAAAAATTAAAGTGGGTTTTCAAATTCATTCATGATGCCATTGCTGTGGTTCCTGGTTTCATACCATCTCCCACAAGATAGATACATAATGCTTCTTTGTGTTTGTGCTTCTTGTGTTTGAATATGTTTCTGTCTACTCACAGAGGTGAATAGGTAAGTAGTAACCAGAGACTAAACTATAAATATAGAACCCTATCTGCTTAGTACTTCCAGCATGCCTGTAAGTTTTGTTAACCTTTGACTCAGGTTGTAGTTTCTTCCAGCTCATGGCTGGTACTCTCCTGGGCCGATGTAATAGCTAAAACATCTGGAAAGGATGGTATACCTTAAGGGGGGGTGCCGATCTGAGGATTCGACTTGCCCTGAACCACAGGAGATTGCTTGCTCTTCACAGTGATGAGTAAATGCATAACCAGTCAGACTCGCGTGTGTTCATCATCACAGCTCATTTTATAATTGTCTTAATTCTCAGAGGCTGGAGGTTTGCGATGTCGACTCAAGTTGCAATGCAAAACTCTGGCTCATACTCAATTTCTCAGTTTCAGTCCAGAATGATCAGGTAGGTCAACTGGCATTCTTTTTATTCTTTGTTAAAAGGATGGTGGGGGTGGGGTGGGGTGGGCAGGAATGTTTACATGGGCTAACTTGGTTAAAGAAAAATCTAAAGGTCAGTTTTTCAGTTACAGAAAAGAGTTTGGCTATTGTATTAAAATAAATTTAATTTCTAAATATGTTCTTTGTCATGTAACAATAAAAGCATTAAGAAAATAAACAGAGGGTCAGACAAAACCAAACTAATCACGACCCCTTGAAATCTGAGCATAGAGTTGAGGTTACTGGAAGGCAAGGATGGAGAGCAGTGTGGATAGGGAACCCACTGGACCATGGTGGGGAAGTAAGAGTCCTTTGGTGGTGGTATGATGGGTGTGGTGTGGTATCATACACCTGAAGAGGGGTGAATCCTGTACCTCTGAATCATGCATTTTTGTGGACCAATGTTACCTCAAAAGGTTTTTAAAAACACAAAGATGTGGAAACTTTGAATTTTTTTATATGCCAGTTTCTTTAATTTTTAATTAATTTGAGGTAACATTGATTCCCATCACTATATGATTCAGAGAAATAGGTTTTCAACTCAGATGTTACATGTCAGTCTTCATTTTCTATCTTTCTACATTTTGGATTTTATAATCTTTATTCCTCAGGGTGTATTCCCTACAAATGAATGTATAGACTTTTTATAGGCTAAATAAACATTTTTAAAAGGTTTCATTAAATACTCCTTAGAGAGAAGGGCCTTTATGTAACAGCTAAAATGCCGATCATTTTGGGAAAAAATTAACTCGACTTGAGACCAAGCTGTTATTGAAAGAACTTTTTTTTTTTTTTAGGTGGACCAAATTGCGGATCAACATGCTTCCTGCTACGATAATTTGTGAGCCAATTTCAGAATGCTTTGTCGCCAGTTTAATTATCGGATGGGCAGCCCACCATGTATTCAGATGGGATATTATGGTATTTTTCATGTGTCATTGCCTGGCATGGTTTATATTTGACTACATTCAACTCAGGGGTGTCCAGGTATGTGGGTAAAGATTGGCAGTCACTTGGTGGAACTGAAACATATTTTAATTGAGTAAAGATTGAAGAAAATCTATCTGAACCATTTCTCAGCTTCTCACTGAAGGTTATTGTGAAGTGTGAACATTAATTTCCTAGCAGAATATGAATACAAAACTCGACTTGATTTTCAACTTTAAGTTGGTGATGTAATCACTTTTCTTAAGGCTCAGAAAGAATGATAACAAGCAAATCTAGTATCCAAACTCATAATATGTTAGGATAGTATTCACTTTAATGCTGCTTCTACTCACTCATAACTAACATTTTCATAACCCATGTAGCAAGGCAGTTAAATTACCTAAAGAAACAGGCTTGATTTTATAGGGTATGTTTAAGCAGAGTGAAATTGGAGAATTTCACTTTTTAACTTGTCCTTAGTCTGGCAGTCAGTATATCAAATTTCTTTGTTTTCAATTCCTAGGGCGGTACACTGTGTTTTTCAAAACTTGATTATGCAGTCGCTTGGTTCATCCGTGAGTCCATGACAATATACATTTTTTTGTCGGCATTATGGGACCCTACTATAAGCTGGAGAACTGGTCGCTACAGATTACGCTGTGGAGGTACAGCAGAGGAAATCCTAGATGTATAACTACAGCTTTGTGACTGTACATAAAGAAAAAAAGAGAAGTATTATAAATTATGTTTATATAAATGCTTTTAAAGATCTACCTTCAGTAGTTTTATCACATGTATGTTTTGTTATCTGTTCTTTAATTTATTTTGCATGGCACTTGCATCTGTGAAAAAAAAAAAAAAACACACATCTGTAGTCTTGGCCAAATAGTACACTTTATTTTGTGGAAGTAGAGAAACAAGAGACTCAGTTCTAGGAACCTGGGTTTGGTTTTTGTTGTTGTTTGTTTATTTTTTTAAAAATAAATATATATAGATATATAGCTATAAATGCTCTGCAGCAGACACTATGACAGTATCCTTCAGTAGAGAAAGTTTCTTATTTGTGAGTACGCTCTTTTGGATCATATACAGGATGACAGTGGTTTTGTTTTGGGGTTTAGAAAAAACTGGAAGGGAATGACTTCTGTCTAAAGTGAATGGTATCATGCAGTGAACAGCCCACACTGGAGGTACTAACTGGGAAACTTTTTCATGCTCTATGCCTACCTCTTGTAGTTGTTGCAGAGCAAATATACATTGTAATAAGGTAGCTAGGCCTTGCAAAAACAAATGGAAAAACTTTAAACATAATAATAATAATAATAAAAGAGCTGGAGTCTAGTATTTATATGAATCTGTGAGAGATATTTTTTGGTCTCACTGCAATGAACCAAAAGTAGTTGAGTTTGGTTTTTAATTGTAGCTATGTCCTGAAGGCATCTTTTGACCAACTCACGTTGGTTCTGTCTTGAACCATTGTTAATCACTGTGCTGGTAAATCTTTCCTTCCCTCCTCCTCACCTGACCCACCCCATCTTCCTTAACCCTTTTTTGGGGGTGGGGGGGGTAGTTTTGTTTTAGTGTGAGTGGATGTTTTGATAGCTGTGAGAAAAAATGCATTTCAGACACATTTCACACATGAGCTATTTTCTTACACAGTACGTCTTATTATTAAAAAGAATGTAATTTCATGATACAGGTATTTAATATCTTTTTTAAGCAAGTCAATATTCTAGCCATCAATAAATAAATTACAGTAGAGTATTAAGAGGGGACAAGATAAGTTTTACTCTTAAAATTGATCAGTATCAAACTAAGTCTACTGTGTGTGTTTTTTTTTTTCCCAATTTTGTTTTTACTATTACGGTTAGTCTAGTCTTATTTAAATTGGATTTTTGTATTCCAGTTTGTACAACAAGATAGACTAGATCAGTGCTAGTTATAAATGCATGCTGATTTCACTCCTCTCCCCATCATGCCGCTGAGCTGCCTGTCAGGTTGTGCTTATCTTGTGGTGAACTGGACTTGTTTTTGGTGTTGTTTTCAATAGGCAAAAATATAAGGGACAGTGCATAAGCCTTTCATTTTCCTTATAGTGGAGTTTTTCCTCTTTCTTCAGAACTGGATGGCATGCCATCCATGTGAACGCCTGCTGCGAGGCTGGCGCTGGCTGAATGGTAGCTTTGCATCCTGAGTTTCTACAGTCTCCATGTCAAAGCATAAGGTGTAGCATATTAGCAATAATGTATTTATAGAAAAGGACACTTTTTCACTCACTGAGCCAATTCATTTAATTGTCTAATGACTATATACTTAGTTTAAATTGCAATATATCTAATAGTGTGTATATACTCGATATACACATTATATATAAGCCTCTCCCTGGGCCAAACTGCTTTTTTTTTTTCTTTTTGCCTTATGATGAATCTGTTTGAAGGGCATTTTCTTCTTGAACAAAGGCTTGGATGCATACTCCTGTCTATGTGAAATGGGTAGTATTGTTCCCTGAGGAAGGTTGCACAGTAAAAACCAGTCTGGTTGTGACCCACGATGTATTTATATTTTCAATTACTATTATACAGATTAAATTTTGCTGACCATGTTTGTCATTTGTTTGGTTTGTTTGATGAAGTTTGGTTGATGCCATCCTATGCACTGCTGAAGTGGTGAAGCCTTGCGTATTAGCTCTTTGCTGATCTCCGTATGGGCAGTGCAGCGACAAAACCAAAATGGCTGGACAGACTTCTTGTGTCTTGTAAATATTAAAAAAAGACTGTTCTGTATGTGTGTTTTATGTGGTAGTGTGGAATATTTCCTTAAAATGAAGGTTCACTTAAGCAGAGTGAGTGAGTCTTTGTTTAGCAAGTTTAGAACAATGATAAAATGGTAAGAAATAATATAAAAATTGAAGAAGGTCTCACAACAAAACCAATAACAGTCCAAATTTAATTGTCTATTTAAAAATCTAACAAGTATCTGGAATATACCATGTTTTTATTATTTAAAATCATGTCTTAAGTTTTTGTTGAAAAATAAAAATTTGAATACAATAAAAACATTAGCAATAATGTGTTTTGTTGACACTCTTTCCTTTTATATTTATGTAAATAATTAACATGTTCCGCCTCTCACATCAGAATTATTAAAAGAATTCTATCAAGTGTAATTCTTGAAATCTTCCTTTTTACCTGTGCTCTAGGTAGACTTAAGATTTTAAGTTGGACTTCTCTGTTGGTTGTGCCTTAGAATCACTTGGAGAACTTTTTAAAAATACAGCTGCCTGGACCCTGCCCACAAGATTCTGAATTTTATTATAATATTTTGGAGTGAGGCCTGAACTCACTATTGTTTTGTGCAGGCTGATCAATAATGTCAGCACAGTTGTGAAGCACTGACCAATAATAAGATGCAGTGGGTGGGGGCGGGGACCTCCCTAGTGGTGCAGAGGTTAAAGTCTCAGCACTATCAAGCTGTCGCCAGCCACTGTGGCCTGAATTCCATCCCCCATCAGGGAGCTAATGCACATGGTGCAGCAGAACTCTCCTGTCTCGCCCACTGCTCCCCTCTGCAGTGTATCTCAGTAGATCCGCCTATTCTGCTCCCCACTGTCTCTGGCGAACCTTCTCACCGCCCTGGCCTACACGCCAGTTCTTCTAGGCCAAAAAAAAAAAAAGAAAAGAAAAGATGCAGTGACCCCTTTGTCCTCTTCACAACCCAAACCAAACTTCTAAATCTTAACACTGCTAGAAAAGGCAGACCCAAGGTAAGGAGTGGATTGCTTTGCTGCTGGAGAATGCACCCCACACGCTGGATTCCCAGGCCTGTTTATTACCAGCCCATGACAGCAGTGTCCTCTTAACCAGAGAGCAGATTTCAGGGGAGCAAGAACCAAAGAGGGTCTAGCTGTAGCCTGTCAGAGGCTCCACTCCTAGCACCCCACCCTGTCAACAAGCTCATTCCCCCTAGTTTATTAAGTATAACTTCTAACCCCAAAGTTTAAGAAATGATCAACAAAATGTCAACCCACTGTGAATGCTGTGATCACCCGAGTTAGGTGAACAGTTGCTGGCAGAACCAGGAGTGGCCCCTGTAAATGTCAGGATCCAGTGCTGTTATTCCACTTTATCTTGTTTAAGGTTCTCCCTGTAACAGCTTTAAACTTTGTTATAAACACTACAATGAAAAAACATAGTTTTAGTAGCCATCTATATGCCAACTCAAAAGTTGTTCAAGAGAACCATATCCACACCTACAGAACAAGCATGTAAATTATAAAGCTATTGAAGGTACAATGCTTTCCATACATTATTTGATAGAGAAGATTAATGCATACCACGAGATGGTGTCTACCTGGATGGAAATAGTTCAGACTTCCTGCTAAGATTTCTTAGGTTATCGTGTTTGAATTATTTATTCATTTCAACTTCAAGTTTATGGCTACATCAACTTTGAAAGAAAACACTGCACAGTGATAAACAGTTATCCTGCAGAACAGCACAGATATGCATTTAATTGACTGATTTAAAATATTAGTATCTGCAAGACAGTTTAAATCACTTTCTCAACACTTTTTGTTTTTTGTTTTTTTAAAGATTTATTTATTTATGTACACAAGCACGCGGGAGAGTGAGAGAATTCACCAGAGCCAGAGCGGGGAGCAGAGCAGGCAGAAGGACCCAAGTACACTGCTGAGGGGAGCAGCGGGCGGCAGGAGAGGTCTGCGCGCCATGTGGGACCCTCACTGGCAGCCGGGGATTGAACCGGCGCTGCAGAGGCTGCAGGCAGCTTCGCAGCCCAGCGCTCAACCGCTGTGCCACTGGGGAAGGCCCACTTTCTCAACACTTCGTAAAAACAAACCAAAAAAATTGCATTTTTAAGAACTTATTAAGCAGTTAGCTGCCTGAGGACCAAAATATGCTAAGCTCTTTGCGTCCTGGGTGAGATTGGCAGAGACTGACTGACTGTGGAGTAGTTTAATGTGGTTATGCTATTTAGACTATTAGTCATCAAGACATCTGTGCTAACAGCATGGACTTGTAATTATCTAAACAATTTGAGGATATTTCTACCCAGGACTGGAGGGAATCTGGACCACTCTCCCCTGGTGCCTCCACACCTGCCCGTGTCACCTTGGTTTTGCTTTGCTTCCTTACCTGGTTTCCAGCACCAAGCCAGCCAAGGGAGCATAGACAGGATGGAGAAGTTCAGAGGCTGCTGATGCAGTTTGTGAACATAGGCAAGAACTGTGTTCAGGAGCGTGGGCTTGGGCATCATTTATTTCCTTTGAGGTGATAGTTGAAGAAGTGAATGTAATTAGGATGGAGAGTGAGATAGGCTAAGGGCAGAATCTCAGGGGACCTACTTAGAGGATACAGTGGGAGAACAGCATCCAGGAGCAGACAATGCCAGATAAGGGGTCAGATGGAGCCTCTTGGTGACTGGGGCTCTGGACAGCTCATCTCATCTTCCTGTGCCTGTTTGGAACTATATACACTGGGGAATAGTAAAGCACCTCTTGAGGGGGTAAAGTGAAGTAGATGATGGGGTGCATCAAAAGCAAAAAGATGGCTAGTTAACTTTTCCTTTCAAAGAAGAAAGTGGTAGTAAAAGGAGTGCCACAGGTGACGTGGAAAGAGATTTCAAGAAGGAGCTGGTCGAGAGAGGGGTCGTGGGCAGGGAGGGCTGAGAAGAGGCTGGTTCCCTGCAGTGTCCCATGGTATTGGCCTGGTCCACTGGGCCTTGTCTGGGATAACGATGGGCGATGCATCAGCAT